AAAGGTGGGGGTCTGAACCATGAAGAAGGATGATTCTTCAAGGGTACTTTTGGGGGTTTGTGGTAGGCTTAAAGACATGACTTTGGGAACGGATTGGGGTGGGGGCGTTGGACTGGAGTTGGGGGTGTGATGGGCAGTGGTTAGGAGGGGTAAAGGCATGGTTTTATATGGTTTTTCAAGTGGGGGTGTAGGGGTAGGCATGGGGATGGTTAGGGCAGTTTGTGGAGGGATGATGGGCATGGTTTTGGAAGAGTTTGGAGGCAGGGGTATTGAGAGGGTTTTGGGGTTCGTTTGTGCAGGGGTTAGAGATAAAAAGGAGGTTGTTATTGAGGAGTATTGGGGCATGGGTGTTGAGGTTATATTGGGGACAAATTGGGCAGTAGTTGTGGAAGGTAATGGCATGGAGTTAAGTGGTTTTTGAGCCATAGGTGTGGGAGAGGTTTGGGGAATATTTTGGGCAGTAGCTAAGGAAAAAACAGAGATGTGTTTAGATGGTGTTTGAAATGTAGGTGTGGGTGATGGAATGGGGATGGTTGTGGCCGTGTGTAGGGTGCTTGCTTTTGGTGTTTTTGGAGTGGCTTCATGGGGTGGTTTTTGTGGAGACAAAGGCATGGTTGGGATATGAGTTTTAAAGGGGTTTGGGGGAACCATGTGATGGTAATCTCTCGGCAAAAATCTCTTGATCAAAAGCTTCCTCATCTTCTCCCAAGTTTGCACTTTGGGTTTTCCTTCGAACTTTCTCTTAGTGGAAATATTTGTCCACCAAGTAGAAGCATTTCGTTGGAACTGGGATGCTACAAGCTTGACCATTTTGCCTTCGGGCATATCCTTGAGGATTAGGATATGTTCAACCTTCTTGAGCCACCGTAGGAACTTCTCCGGATCGTTTCTTCCTTCAAAGGTCAGAATGTCCACTGAATTTGTGAACTCTCCAATCTTTTTCATCAAAGCATCAAGCTCCTTCTTGAGTTTATTCTGTTCAGCAACTAAATCTCCATGGCACATGTTTTGGGAGTGGTTTGACATGGTTTTAAGGAAGAAGAAGTGCATGGTATTTTTGGGGTATAGGTTGGCCGAATTGGGGTTTGTTTTTGGGGGCCTAAGGTGGACAAAGATAGGTTATGTTGGGGTTGGTTCCTGGGCGGCGAGTTGGAAGGTTTTTGGAGTATGTTTTGGCTTGGTTTTTGGATGGTTTAGTCAGGGACTGTTTTAGGTGATAAGGTGGGTGGGCTTCTGTTTTCTTTTTGGGGCTGTCTTTGGCTTCTCAAACCAAAGCAAAAGGTGATGGAGGAATGGCCTTTTTTTGGGAGGGGCTGGTTCTGGGCAGTAGGTAATGAAGGAAGAAAAGTGGGTTTTGTTGGGCTGTTTTTTTTTT